TATAGTACCTTTACAGCTGTATTAGCCAAAATTCCTGGACATCAGTATATTCCAAAGGTACGTTACGCAATGGCTAAGCTTCTAGCTGGCAAGGATCACAAAGGAGCTAACATGTCCATCGGTTACTTACAGTACGTTGCTTAAGAGTTGTGCAATCGACTTTTTTATCTTGTTTCTCTCAAATGTATAATCTATGTTTTTCTAGAGATGTCTTTACAAATTGCAACAGTGCATTTGGCTCACTAGCCACTGTCCTTCGAAGTGGAGCGTCCATTGCCACGAATGTAGATACGGAAGCCGTAGTTGAAGGCTTTGAGGGTTCCGGTGCCGCAAATTTGGCGACGTGGTTGGAAGCACAGAAGCTCTTGGGGAGTGGACAGGCTGAGCAGGCCCTCAAGACAATGTCTTTGTTGGGCACGAACAATCCTAAGTGTGCATAGTTATTTCTCACTTACCTTTTTACCTATACAAAGTGGTAGTGTTCATCGCTGTTCTTCACTTTCATGTTCATTATTTCAGGATATTAACGGAAATGGGATTAGTATATAATTCGCTGGGAATGCGTCACGAAGCTCGTTCCGAGCTGTCTAAAGCGCATTCTTTGGATGCTGAACAACATTATGCAATGGATACACTTGCTCTATTGTTTGCACAGGTTTCATTAATTGGAATTCTTGGATTGCCTTTTCGATTTCTTGGATCTGTAGAATACTCCACCAATGGCTAAAGAACTGGAGTCATTGGCGACACAACTCATGAACTCGAACGAAAATACTATAGAAGCCTGGATCGCATTCGGCCATTGTGCTCGAGTTCAAGGCAAGATTTCTGATTTTTTTTTGATTTCTTTACAATTGAATTTGCTTCAGGCAAACTAAAAACTGCTTTGTATTTTGCGCATAAAGCCTGTAATCTTACAATTTTTGGAGATAAACCCAAGTCCGAGGCAATGATGTTGAAAGCGCTTGTTTTGTTAGATCTTGGTGAGATATTGTTTCAACATAAGTACAGCAGCGTTTTCTTCAATTCTTGTTAAGTTCAAAATGTTTGTTATCATACCTATGTGACGTTAAGAAAAATTCGATGAGGCGATGCGTCATTTGAGCGCAGCAATCAAACG